GGGCCCCCCCCCCCCCTACATCAAATGTGCCAACTCCACCATCCCCTTTAGCTGAAATATTATCTGGCCCTGCAGCAGAGTTTTTCTTTACTATATCTCTCTTGGAGATGTTCACACCTGAAACTGGTTCACCAAGAACTTGTTGATTTATGTTAAATTGGGTTGCAGTTGGGTCAGTGCCTGAGAAATCACTACCAACTCCAGCTCTAGATTTGGTTTTTGTCAGAAGATGAGAATTAAAAGCCTTTTTCTTCTCCTTCACAAAAAGATTTTTTACAATTTACACTTTGCTCGTCCTATAGATTTTTTAACTTGCCCAAGTTACACACATCTGGTATTTGCTCTGATGGAGAAGGTCCTCCTAGTCCTTCCATGACAAAGGTCACCCAGGCACTTCTAGGATAGGAACACAGGAAGCAAGGAGGAGAGGAGCCGCCTAGACTGGTACAAGCAAAAGGAGCTGGAACACCCATAGGACCAGCCACAGGAGAAAGAGAGAGAGAATATAAGGATCCAGGGAAAGCAGGATCCAGAAGTAATACAGTGATAACACATGAAGGCATTCAGGATATTCTTCTTGGCATATATTTGGAATAAGGACACCACTAGAGATAATACATAAAAGAGATGAAAGAACAATAGACAAGATAAAGATCACAATAGTATAAAGACTAGTGGTGCCATCTTGAAGGTAAAGAAAGAGGAGGACAAAAGAACAGCTACAGTGAGAACCTAGATATAGGATCTCTGAGTGGGGTGGCGTTGTTTTGTAACATTCTTTAAATTTTTCAAATTAACTGTGTCCTTTGATTTTATATATGTCTTGTAAACTTAGTTGTTGCTCTAACCAATCTTTGAATGTCTCTATCCATTCAGGGAGGTTTGTTACTCTTGATTCTAAGGTTATTTGGAATGAAAAATTTTATACCTTGAGTAATTCTGTTTTTAAGTAGAGCCAACATTCTTCTGTCCCCTTGTCACTGAATTCACATTCCCAGTTCACTGATGTTAAATGTCTGAAAAAGAATCAATATCACATTTGTCCCATTTCGGAACATACTCCTTAATTTGATCTAATGCTACGTTTAAAATTATATTTTGAGAAATAATTGAGTGGTCCCTATTGCTAAAATTTCCAATAGGTTCAATATTGATTATTCTTTCTGACAAGTCTATGAGGGCAAGATCAAGAATATTACCAGGAATGTGGGTTAGGATATCTATTATTTGATAAAGGAACCTTTCACTGAGGGAATCCACAAAAGGGTGACATTTGTCATCACAAGAGTTATTTACTCAATCAATATATGAATAGTTAAAATTTCCTATTATTAGGTTGTTCTTGTCGAGAGAATTTATTAAATAATTCACACAGTTCTGAGCTATTTATATTAGGGGAGTTTGGAAATCTGTACACTGCAGTGACATTTAAATCCTGGTTATTATCTGATGATACTTTGAATTGGCAGAATTGTAAAACTGTATTAATATTGTCAGTTTTTAAGATAGTCATTTCATGTTTCACATATACTAACAACCCGCCCCGGATACCATTAGCAGTATCAGTGGTGTCACATCTTAGGGGCAGTTCGATAAAATATCATTCAAGTTGAAGGATCGAATTTGAAATGTCTTTATTAGACCAGGTCTCAGTTATTAGGATGATTTCTGGGTTTTGTTCATTAACTTCTTCAAGGTCATAAATTTTACTGATCATACTTCAGGCATTCAAGTAAACAATATTTAGAGTTTGCTGGATGAAACGGGTTGAGGGGGTCCCTCGTTGCTCTATGGTCTTTTCCTTCTGTTTATGTTTATCTTCCTGGCTTTTATCAGCTTTCTTTGACCTTTCAGTCTGATCACCTTCCACTCCCAGTTAAAATATTTCTCATTGTCCATTTCTCTGTTAAGGTTTTCAGCATCAGTTCTAATTTTAGCTTCTGCCTGGCATTGTTTGTTTGTCCAATCCTGGCCAATGCTATTTGGTTTTGGTTAAATTCCGTGCAGATCTTAAGAACCTTTCACTGGGAAGTAGATCTCTTCTCGGGGTATACACATTACATGTACATACGTACCCTTCTAGTGTACTGCTTGTTAGAAGAGAAATTCTTCTTATATAAACATGTACACAAGACCCTTTGAGGTATACTGTTAGTTAGTAGAGATAATCTTTAGATATACACATGCACAGTTGGATCTTAACTTTCTTCAAACCTTGGCCTCAATATGCGCATTGCATTTATTGAGAAACCCTCCATATCTTTTATCTTTCTCATTTTATCAGATAATTTTGTATTTTATTTTTATTTTATTGAGTAATTTCTTGGAATGATTGCTATTTGCAATAATATACTAGTAATAAAAGACATTCCATATTACTAAACAATATTCATCTTTATATCATTTTAAATCAATACCCCTCACAACGGGAAACCCATTTAGCACTGCTCAAGAATAGGATCCGGATCTGTTGGATCCGCAAAATTTTGGCTTCCTGGATCCTGATCCGCAAAAAAATGTGAATCCGCAGATCCGGATTTAAGGGGCAAAATATCAACCAAAAACTACAAAGAAAAGCTTTTTTACTTTTAACCCCATATCCGAACTGTTCAAAAAGAGAGAATATAAAAATTGTCTAATCTCTGAACGGTTCATCAAGTTATAGCATAAAAATAAGCAAAAAAAATTAAGAGAAATAATTTGAAATTTCTGCTTTGTGAATAAAAGTTAGTAAATCTTAAAGAAATGCTCATTTCCTTGATCCAGATCCGGATCCAATTTTTTTTCTAGTGCGGATCCAGATCCGTAACAAAACTAAATTTATCATAAGCACTGCGGCCTTTAGAATTCTCTTCTACGCCCCCACTCCTGAAAAGCCTGTGGTTACTTTAATTATAATTCTTTATTGTTTTTCTTTGTATTTATTTCTAAAAATAAAAACAAAAATAAAAATAACCTTTACATTCTTCCTTGAGTTTCATCTCAAATTTATCTGTATAATAAAACAAAACATTTTTATATATATATGTTATTGTTGCGTATAGCCGGCCAAACGACTAGACCGATAGGGCTGAAATTTTTTGTGGACACTCAGTTTTGTTTGTTATTGGCTAGAAAAATCGAAATCTTTTTTCTTCAAATTTTTTGTTTCAAATATGTTTGTGAAATCTGGGACCAATTTAACTTTATATTACATTGTAATAATATACAGCTAATTCAACATTATAGCAACGTTTATAGTTGACCATGAAGTTAGCATGAATGATAAAGTAACCTATTGTTTTATAACATTTTAAATTATTGTATAGATGGCTCCTAATGGTCCTAGTATTGAAGAACAGAGATATATTTCAACTCCATCCCAGCTTTCAAAAAATATAATCACAAACGCAAGCTTCAGGTTAGATTTTATTTTTAAGATAATGTTTTATAACTCAAATACTACAGCCGTATTTGTATCCCCTATTTTAAAGTTGTATGTTAACGAAAAGATCACAATTTTTTTCTTAAATGTGTTAAATTCTGTCAATTTCATTCCTTCTTTTGCCGCAAAAAATACGCAAGTCTCTATTTTAGAGATTTAATTCGATCATTTTCATACAGAAAACAAAACTATCTATTGGGTACTGTTGTAATAAAACAGCCATACACCTCTATAAATGGAGGGTCACTTAAAACTACATCTGCAGTACCTTGTAGTTGTTTATATCTTTGTCAAGGTTGTCCTGTCTTGTTTATATCTTTGTCAAGGTTGTCCTGTCTTGTTTATATCTTTGTCAAGGTTGTCCTGTCTTGTTTATATCTTTGTCAAGGATGTCCTGTCTTGTTTATATCTTTGTCAAGGTTTTCCTGTCTTGTTTATATCTTTGTCAAGGTTGTCCTGTCTTCTTTATATCTTTTTCTAAGTTGTCCTGTCTTATTTATATCTTTGTCAAGGTTGTCCAATCTTATTTATATCTTTGTCAAGGTTGTCCTGTCTTGTTTATATCTTTGTCAAGGTTGTCCAATCTTATTTATATTTTTGTCAAGGTTGTCCTGTCTTGTTTATATCTTGGTCAAGGTTGTTCTGTCTTATTTATATCTTTTTCAAGGTTGTCCTGTCTTATTGATATCTTTGTCAAGGTTGTCCAATCTTATTTATATCTTTGTCAAGGTTGTCCTGTCTTGTTTATATCTTTTTCTAAGTTGTCCTGCCTTATTTATATCTTTGTCAAGGTTGTCCAATCTTATTTATATCTTTGTCAAGGTTGTCCGGTCTTGTTTACATCTTTGTCAAGGTTGTCCAATCTTTTATCTTTATCAAGGTTGTCCTGTCTTGTTTATATCTTTGTCAAGGTTGTCCTGTTTTGTTTATATCTTTGTCAAGGTTGTCCTGTCTTGTTTATATCTTTATCTAAGTTGCCCTGTCTTATTTTTATCTTCGTCAAGGTTGTCCTGTCTTATTTATATCTTTTCAAGGTTGTCCTGTCTTATTTTTTATCTTTGTCAACGTTGTCCAATCTTATTTATATCTTTGTCAAGGTTGTCCTGTCATGTTTATATCTTTGTCAAGGTTGTCCAATCTTATTTATATCTTTGTCAAGGTTGTCCTGTCTTGTTTATATCTTTATCAAGGTTGTCCAATCTGTTTTATATCTTTGTCAAGGTTGTCCGGTCTTGTTTATATCTTTGTCAAGGTTGTCCTGTCTTATTTATATATCTTTGTCAAGGTTGTCCTGTCTTATTAATATCTTTTTCAAGCGTGTCCTGTCTTGTTTATATCTTTTTCTAAGTTGTCCTGTCTTATTTTTATCTTTGTCATGGTTGTCCTGTCTTATTTATATCTTTGTCAAGGTTGTCCAATCTTATTCATATCTTTGTCAAGGTTGTCCGGTCTTGTTTATATCTTTGTCAAGGTTGACCTGTCTTATTTATATCTTTGTCAAGGTTGTCCTGTCTTGTTTTCAAGGCTGTCCTGTCTTGTTTTTATCATTATCAAGGTTGTCCAATCTTATTTATATCTTTGTCAAGGTTGTCCTGTCTTGTTTTTATCTTTGTCAAGGTTGTCCTGTATTTTTTATTTCTTTGTAATGGTTGTCCTGTCTTGTTTATATCTCTGTCAAGGTTGTCCTGTCTTATGTATATCTTTGTCAAGGTTGTCCTGTCTTGTTTTTATCTTTGTCAAGGTTGTCCTGTCTTTAATACATCTTTGTCAAGGTTGTCCTGTCTTATTTTTATCTTTCTCAAGGTTGTCCTGTCTTATTTATATCTTTTTCAAGGTTGTCCTGTCTTGTTTATATCTTTGTCAAGGTTGTCCTGTCTAATTTATATCTTTGTCAAGGTTGTCCTGTATTGTTTATTAATTAAGAATGTATCAACATTAAAAAATACTTATTTTAGAACTAAGAAACTGGAAGGAGATATTCCTAGGCTAGAGGATGATGAAGGTATTCATTCATTCATTCATCCTTTCATTTATTCATCCATCCTTTTATTCACCCATTCATCCATCTATTTATTTATTCATTCATTCATTTATTCATTCATTTATTCATGTAATCGTTCAGGCCCGTTGAGTTTTCATGTATCCATTTATTAATTTATCCATCTGTTTATCTATTATCTATATATTGTATGTTAAGGTCCATCTAGTCTTGAGTCTAAAATGACAATAATTACTGAGGAGGAGGAGGAGGGAGGTCAGGAGACGAGGAAGGGAAGAGATATGGAGAACATTGCGGATAAAATAAAGGTTGATACTTTTTCATGTTTATATTTTTCTTATTTTCAAGTATTTAAAAAAATAAATGTATACATTAGACAATTAGAGGTGATGGATTTGAACTTATTTCGAAGTTAAGCATCCGCCCACTGCACCGGAGGTCCAGCCTTGCAAACATATTTAAATGCTAAATTCAAGATAAACAATTTTTTCAGGAAAAAGTAACTTTTCGGTCCCCAAACAAGCTTTAAAAATTCTTATGTTTTACCTTATTTTCTTATGCTGAATTCAAATGTGAAACCTATTTTTTTAGAGCATAATTAATTATTAATTTATAATTAATTACAACTGCTTTATAGGGAAATTAAGTGAATTTTACTCTACCAAGGATTAAGTAAAATTTTTAATTTCCCGAAAAAGTAGTTGTTCACAATTTTGAGATGAAAATGCGCGAATTTTTTCTTAAAAACTTCGCAGAGCGGGTGGATATCTTACATAACCGTCCCAAGGGACGTAAAGTAACTTAACCTCCCTCTGTTAAAAAAAAAGATAAAGGCGGTAAAAAAAGATAAAAGGGTGTTTTAATACTGTTATTTTGGTTGAATTTTTTATGCTTTAAAATATTTTGTATGATAGGTTATTTTGCAAAAATATGACAAATTACATGTAATTTTTGAAGATTTGTTTAACCTAAGCTCGTTAATAATTTCTTATTTTGTTTTATTATTTTGAAAAAATGTTTTTAATACTTTTTTACTAAAATGACCAGAGTTTGTCACTAAGTCTGTTCAATATGTATACTTTGGACCTCCGGTAAACGTTCCAAATCGTTCACCTCTCTTTGACCATTGACCTCAGCCATGAGCTAGGTTTAAAGACAGAAACGCCAGAGGTTTTTATAGGTTCTGATATTAGATTATGCTTAGAATTAGCATGCAAATATAGAAATTGCCAGATTTCACTTTTTGAGTAAATTGTATTTAATTTGTATCAAATTTAGACTTGAAAAAAGCGTTTCACTCAAAAGTTTTTAAAAGATTATTAAAAAACCGAAAAACAGAAGAACCTCAAAAAGAAATATATTACAAATGGCATCCACCGTTTTCATTATTTTTATCTTATTGGCATAATATTTAAATATCTGTATTATTATTATCATGATATCATGTTTGATCAGGCAAGGAAGGAGAATGTATTATTATTATCATGATATCATGTTTGATCAGGCAAGGATGGAGAATGTATTATTATTATCATGATATCATGTTTGATCAGGCAAGGATGGAGAATGTAATATTATTATCTTGATATCATGTTTGATCAGGCAAGGATGGCGAATGTATTATCATTATCATGATATCATGTTTGATCAGGCAAGGATGGAGAATGTAATATTATTATCATGATATCATGTTTGATCAGGCAAGGATGGAGAATGTATTATTATTATCATGATATCATGTTTGATCAGGCAAGGATGGAGAATGTATTATCATTATCATGATATCATGTTTGATCAGGCAAGGATGGAGAATGTAATATTATTATCATGATATCATGTTTGATCAGGCAAGGATGGAGAATGTAATATTATTATCATGATATCATGTTTGATCAGGCAAGGATGGAGAATGTCCGGGATAATGTAAGAATACCAATGAGAAAGAAAGATCGAGAAAGGTTTTCTGAAAGTGAAGTTTCTGATAAAGGTAAAGTCTGTTAACAAACGATTATTCCTATGAACGAGGGATGAAAACACTTTCCTTGGAATGTTTAGCATAAAAAACACAAAAAGAATTGACAAGAAATATTTAAGACGAATTCTGATTGATTGACTGAGAGTTTGATTGGCTGGCTGACTAATCGATAAGAAAAATTCTGATGGCTGATTGATTGATTGATTGATTAGAAAAGTCTGATGGTTGATTGACTGACTGACTGACTGACTGACTGACTAATTGATTGATTGATTGATTGATTGATTTTTGATTGATTGGTTGGTTGTAGGGCGAGGGTTGAGTGAGAAGAAGGATAAAAAGAAGAAGGAAGTTAAATCTAATCCCGGCGATCTTGAAGGGTAACTAATAACTTTATCCTGCATTAACCAAGGGGTGTCTTAATAAACAAGAAAGTTGAGAATTAGATTTCTTTGATATTAAAACTTTTTTGCGGCATTCATTTTTTATATTCAAGATTAATGAAAGAATGCCGCAAATTCTGATCATCTGTCATGTTTTACAAGGTCCTAAAGTAATGAAGAGAGATTATTTTTTCTCTGCAGTTCCAATTTAATGAAAAATATTTTTGTAAAAACTTTTTTTTAAATATCGGCTTTTAAAAGTAATTTTATTATTTTTAGGTTGGAAGAATTAAGACTGCAAAACTTTCCCTCAGAGACGATAGCGATCCATAGCCCAGAGTCTGGTTCTACCAGTATATTCTAGAAATATCTGGTTCTACCAGTATATTCTAGAAATATCTAGTTCTACCAGTATATTCTAGAAATATCTTGTTCTACCAAAATATTCTAGTAATATCTAGTTCTACCAGTATATTCTAGAAATATCTGGTTCTACCAATATATTCTAGATATATCTAGTTCTACCAGTATATTCTAGAAATATCTAGTTCTACCAGTATATTCTAGTAATATCTTGTTATATTTGTATATTCTAGAAATATCTGGTTATACCAATATATTCTAGTAATATCTAGTTATATTAGCATATTCTAGAAGTATCTGGTTCTACCAGTTTATTCTAGTAATATCTAGTTCTACCAGTATATTCTAGAAATATCTAGTTCTATTAGTATATTCTAGATATATCTAGTTCTACCAGTATATTCTAGATATATCTGGTTCTACCAGTATATTCTAGATATATCTAGTTCTACCAGAATATTCTATAAATATCTAGTTCTGCCAGTATTTTCTAGAAATATCTAGTTCTATCAGTATATTCTAGAAATATCTAGTTCTATCAGTATATTCTAGAAATATCTAGTTATACCAGTATATTCTAGAAATATCTAGTTCTTCTGGTATTTTCTAGATAAATCTAGTAATACCAGAATATTCTAGAAATATCTAAAGGGTTTAGAGTAAGATAGACTGAAATGTGAAAATTTATTATTAATATAAGTTGCATTTAAATAGTATTTTAATAAAATCTTGATAAATAAGAATGAGTAAGATAGTATAAGTAAGTATAAGTAAGATTTTTATCATTGATCTAAGAGAGCCTCTCTCACTATTAAATATATTAACAAATAAACCAATCAAATCAATTTTATGAGCTAAGTAATCCTGTTACTGTTAAATGTTGAATGTTAACTCTACTACATCCTTTAACTATTAACTTTTTCATTCCTTTAATTGGTTCGGGGGGGATTTTTAACGAACCGACAAGGCTTGAAAGAGACTAGGGGGGGTTACATCTTTCTCTAGAATTCAACAACAATTGTTAGAAATATTGATTAGCTTTCAAGATATATTTACAAAATAGTCTCTAGTCAATTGTCAATAGTATTTCGTAGTCATTATTCTGTATTTTTGAAAATAAAATTTTAATGTTTAAATTCTTTTTTTTCGTGAGCTTGGAGTAGAATAAGTAGAAAAACAAATAGAAGAGAAGAGATATACCACATTATTAGCCATATTTACGCACTATTTATGATAATTGATAAATACTTCTCATCTTTGAGAAACCTCTCACGAAAAAATTGTAGAAAATCTTTTATTTACACTCAAAACACAAATTTAAAAAACCTCCTGTATTACACAGGCACATTTTGATGTATTGCGCATGCTTTTTTTGCATGTGTGCATAGCGGAGGTTTATGGCGTCCGGGAGCAGGGGCGTACGAGGGGGGGGCCCTTACGCGTATGTATCGTTTTTATGTAAATATAGATAATTTTTTAGAAANAAGAATTTATCAAATGTCGTCTTGACAATTTTTCAACGAGTTTCATATTATATTACGTAAATCTCAGTATTTGCGAAAATAAATAAATAGCTATGAATATGCAGGAACAGTTTTAAAAAGCTCCATATAATCATTTCATTAAAAAACTCAATATCTGCAACATTCCATTATCAGAAAGTGAAGAATACGACATTTGATGAATTCTTTCGATGTATGGCTTATTTAGGGTTTAACTATATTTTGACTCAACAGCGGAAGATTGCAAGCCTTAAAGGGACTGTAAGCGTAATTTCAAGTGTCTCTCCATGCAAAGGTGGCAATGCCTGATTCACAATGGTTCTCTTAAAAGCTTTGTCTGATCAAGTATGAATTTCATATAAAATTTTATAATTTTGAAAACTGACTATTTCTAATAGTGGGTTATCTACACAAGTAACCTGCGCAATTTACTGCAAGAAAACATGTACGAATGTTCAGAATAAAACACTTTTTGATCTAGAAAACGACGACATTTTCCATATTTTCAAACAGAAAAAGGTTTCAAGGTAACCGTTCAGAATAAAGCATTACAATCTTTGCATGGAGGGTCACTTGAAATCAAGCTTATAGTGCCTTTAACAGAGGAAACCCCAACCGTTGGTAAATATCTGTTAAAAAAACATTAAGGCCTTTATCTTTTGCAAGAGTCGACATTTTGATAATTGTAATAATAGCTTATTTTAGAACACAACAATGAGCATACAAATGTAAAATATCTTAAACTTCTAAATCTTCTAAGGAGCTTCTAATCAAATAATTTATGAGTTGATTTTTAAATATATTCTGCGACAGCTGTGTTTTACGTGGATTTGAAAAGGGAAACTAATGGTTTCTTTTTATTTTATTTCAACTTTTTTATTCAAAAGTTTCTGATATTAAAATTCAATCTTTTTTGAACATTGACGGCCATGTTTTTATACTTTATTCTAGAACTAAATTGCTTAAATTATAGAATTGGACTGTCTCTACAAGATTTGGTTCACATGCCCAGTAACTTTAAATTAGACTATCCAGCAGAGGTGAGAAAACGACGGATTAAAAAAATTTGATAAATTCAGTTAGAGTTGTTTGAAACAGATACAGTGATATTCATAAAACTGTGGAATAGGATGACGACGTGTTAGACTCAAGTTTTAATTTTAAATTACCCAACAAACATTAAACACCATAATTGTGCAGTGTTCTCAGACTTCTGTTGCCTAATAATCAGTTTTTCAACTATTTTCTTTCTTATGAAATTCAATAAAGATTGTTTAATATGGTTTTCCTATTTTATCTCACTGTATTTTAGTCAAAATATGCTGAATCAAATGCCTATTCTTCTTCTGTTAATAGCATTAGTAGCTACTGATCATTTAATTTTTGTATACATTTTATTTTTATTAATTTGCGTTTTTACATTCAAATTAAAAAAAAAAAATTTAACAATTATTTTTAAGGAATGGCCGGAAACNTAATAATGATAATAATACTCATAATAATAATTTTCACAATAATGATAATAATAAAAAATTATAATAATAATAATAAGAATAATCTCCGCTTTTGCTTTCTAATCGAAATAGACTACGATATATTTCACATTATTGATCAGATAAAAGTTTCCTGAGTACCGTTGTGAATGGGACATGTCCCTCTTTATGTGGAGAGTCACTTGAAATTATTATTCCTTTATTTTTTTATCTTTATCATATATGACATATATTTTATAAATAAAAATTGTAGCTTCAAGTAATATTTTTCAAGATATTTTCAATATTTTTGTTAAATGTTTTTTAGGATTGAAGACTCCTACCCATCTGGACCATTTCGGGTGGCTAAATGGATCAAAGAGCATCTAGAATTGACACCTCATGTTCCAACTCCTCCACGCTATAGACACAGAACATACAAAGGACCTAGAAAAAACCTTGTCATACGACTTTAGATTGACCAAATCAATCTATACGTGTACTATGGTTCTGAGTTAACAGAATTAGCCTGGACCGGACCTGAACCCAACTAGAATTAACCCAAACCATACATGCTTCTGATATTTTGGACTGGGTCTAAACCCAACTAGCTAGAATTAACCCAAATCATACACTCCGGACCTGAACCCAACTACATAGTATAAACCCAAACTGATATTTTGGACCGGACCTGAACCCAACTTCATAGTATAAACCCAAACTGATATTTTGGACCGGACCTGAACCATAATGTTGTCTAATTTATGGCATTTTTTTGTAATTAATCATAAAATTTGAAGAATAATACATACGCGTTACTAAGATGAATTTAGCTCCGGTACAAACAAATTTTGATGGATGAAAATTTGACATTTCTATAAAGTGTACAAAGTGTCCCACAAAACATGGCAGTGTTGAGACGACTTGAAGATCATTTTTGGAAGTATATTTGCGGTATTCATCTGTCAACTTATTTCTGACCTAATGTTACACGTAAAATTCTTGATTTAAAAATCACAGCATGTAGTAAATGCCCTACTCCAATAAATCCTTTTAGATCAGTACCAATCCAGGTATAACCTTCTGTAATCTTTAGGAACTGTCTTACAATATACAACTCAATCGCCAAATCCAGTTTGCTCAATAATCTCAGGTATCTGTCTCACAAGATACAACTCAATCCTGAACTCCAGGTCACTCAATAATCTCAGGCATCTGTCTCACAAGATACTACAACATACAACTCAATCCCGAACTCCAGGTCGCTCAATAATCTCGTTCGCTACATGAGGATATATATTACTCTAACACTGTAATCAAGCGGAGTATTATTCCAACCAACGTTTATTTTGAATTCTATGGTGCAGGTTACATTAATAAACGTAATTACAAGTTTTACATAGTTATTGATAAGTGCAGTTAGGTGTAATCGCAATACAGGTTTGATTTAGTTATTTACAAGCGTAGTTAGGTTACAATGTACAATGTAATATATCTAGGTGTGTTCAGGTTTATAAGTATGGGGTTTGCTACGATATTTAATACAAGCAAACCCTTAGTTCTATAATTTATATTATTCGCTTTCAAAACTTTCATAAATTTCGTTTAAATTTTTGGTTTTATTTATTAAATTGAAATATGAACAAAAGTCGAAATACAAGATTACCTTTCTGGGTAATCTTGTATTTCGACTTGTAATCTTGTATTTCGATGAGACTGTAAAGACGACCTGAAACTAACGAAATATGACGATCCCTAGACTTCCTGTCTAGAATAAAATATAATGTTTTAATTAATGATTTGACAAAGAAAAAAAAGTGTACAGTGGCCGAATTTAAAGAATTCGAGCCGCGGTTTAAATTTAAGCCGCGGTTTAAATTTAAGCCGCGGTTTAAATATGGTACACGTTGGTTCCACATAAAACTGTATCAAATGTTTCAAAATTTAAGCCGGCGCTGAATTTAAACCGGGTTTTGGCGGATTTAAACCGCGGCTCAAGTTCTTTAAATTCCATCTCAGGTAATCGTGAATATAAGGAAACAGACAGTATGAATTCCGTACAGTCGTCTCCGAAGTCTATTCTGTGTGGGTAACCCTATATCTCCAGTAATTTTTCATGCACAAAAAAAGCAAACCACAATTTGTAAAAGCATTGACAAGGAGAATTTAGAGATTTTTGGTTTAAAAGTCAGATTTGTAAAATTATAGTTTGACGAATGAATGCTGCAAATTATTTCAATGATTAAAGACGATCCTTGGACTAAGGAAGAATTGTGGAAATTTAGTATACTGTGTGTCCCTCTAAATATATTAATTGACAGTTCGTCGTTCTAAAATTTAATTAGTACTCGATACCCCAAAAGTCACAATATAAATTTTACATTTCACATTTTTTTACTTTTATTAGAAACAAACAAACAAACAATAGCTTATTATTTCTCCAAAGAAAAAAAAACAATATTTAGAAGACGACATTTAGAAATTTCTAGTTAAAGGTTTAACTTACATACATAGATACGGATTAAGAGTTTAAGTTGATCCTCAGCACTACTGTACACAAAGAATGAGACTTTTGAAACAACAACAATGGGAGTCACGGAAGTTCGTAGTAAGATTTTGACTCTACTGGAGACCACCGGAGGGAGTTCATTTTTACTGAAGGGGTTTAATAAAATGCTTTTTACAATTTAAAACTTTACGCAGGGTGATTTACATTCCACTGGAGGGATTCAGATATCTTTCCAGGGGGTTATAATTCCACTGGAGGGATTCAGATATCTTTCCAGGGGGTTTATAATTCCACTGGAGGGATTCAAATATCTTTCCCGGGGTTTTTAAATTCCACTGGAGGGATTCAGGTATCCTTTCTAGGGCTTCATAATTCCACTGGAGGGATTCAGATACCTTTCCAGGGGTTTATAAATCCACTGGAGGGATTTAGATATCCTTCCTAGGGGTTTATAATTCCACCTGTGGGATTCAGATATCCTTCCATGGGGGTTTACAATTCTACTGGAGGGATTCAGATGTATATCCATGGGGTTTATAATTCCACTGGAGGGATGCGGAAAGTTTCAAATTGAAAAAAGTGAAAATAAAATCCCTCCGGTGCAGTGGTCTCCAGTAGAATCGAAATCTTACTACGAACTTCTTTTAGTACGA